ACAATAAACCCAAAGAAGAAGGATATGGTGAGGGACAAGGTAAGGGCCAAAGGGATGGTGGGGAATAGAAGCATGAGCAAGAAACAGCAATTGATGCTGCATACACACTACAGTTACCAGGATTATGTGGGGAAGTAATATAGTTTAAATGTGTAAACTTTTTTCTTTAATCAGCTTCTGGAATGAGGGTGCAGTAATTTAGGTAGTGTTGACTCCTGTTTTGAGTTTTCTTTAATTAATTGTGCTTAATAGGTGCCTGCAATACATTTTATTCTGTCTCAATGCCATGAAATTTCATTATTAAAATGATCAGAAAAAAATCACATTCATGTAATTATGCACAAGGCTTATATTTGTTTAGGTATTCATGCTCGCTTTTCTTTTATTTCCTGTTTTAACAATTGTTTATGCCACTGCTAGTGGCATTGAAGCTAATTTTTGTGGCTCCCTCTGGTGGCTTCTTCCCCCCCCCCCACCCGGAAAGTCCCAGACATTGCATTCCAGGGTATTCTGGGGAGGAAATCACTACTACTTGGGGAGAGAGGGAACTACACTGGTTCTGGTTCTGGCATGTTCATGGAATGTACAAGAACAAAGTGGTGAGCACAGGTACTCTGGAGGGGAAATGGTTGCCTTTAAAAGTGAACACTGAAGTGAGTTCAGCTGCCACAACTGCAAGAAATTTGCAGGGGGGTGCTATGAAAAGTGGAAAGAAAGAAAGAAAAACATGAATGAGAATGTCAATTCTGCCATTAACCATTGTCATACCCCCAAAGATGCTCTTTTTTGCCATTATTAAATTCCATAGAAGAGATTTTGTTCCCTTCGAAATATCTGCCTCAATCCACTTAAATACGATCAACGTGGGGCTTTATCCCAACATTACCCCTGTGATTTCCATTATGATATCTGTGATATGTCTCCAAAAGTCTTTTGGTAATTCCAATTTTATATGTTTTTAATGTGCTCAGAAGTTTTTTAAATCTATTTTACTTATTTAATAAAATTTATACACTGCTTAATTGTTACAAACAAACAAACAAACAAACAAACAAACAAACAGGTACTAATAGCAGGGTACAACTTTCAAAGGCATAGTTTCATTCAGTTCTCCCTGAAATGAATGTTTCAGCAGAGAAAGTCCCTAGAAGCAGATTTCGCCACTTGTATCTATACTCTGTCATTGATGGTTGAAATTCATTGAGGTTTCTAATAAGTGAAATTTTTAATCTAAAAAGCTTAGACAATGTTTAGGTGTGACTTTTACTGTTTTGAAAATATCTAACAGTTCTGTTGCTGCAATCCTATGTAAACATACCTAGGAGTAAGCCCCATTGAACTTTGTGTGGTTTACTTCTGACTAGATAAGCATATACTGTGCATGTTCTATAGGCAAAGTCTGTTAAATAACTTGCACATTGGAATTATTTGAAAGCTTTGATGCAGCTGAAGACTACAGTGGTACCTTGGGTTACAGACACTTCAGGTTACAAACTCCGCTAACCCAGAAATAGTACCTTGGGTTAAGAACTTTGCTTCAGGGTGAGAACAGAAATCGTGCGGTGGCGGCGCAGTGGCAGCAGGAGGCCCCATTAGCTAAAGTGGTACCTCAGGTTAAGAACAGTTAAGAACGGACCTCCAGAACGAATTAAGTTCTTAACCAGAAGTACCACTGTATAGCTATAATATTCAATTTTCTAGTTTCCAACCAAAGTGTTTCAGGGTTTTTCTTCTTGTTTTATACACAGACTCTTTTACACTTACAATCTATACATACATAGTATACACTTTACATATAATATGTTTACTTATCAGGTAACACAGCAACCTCAGTGGGGAAAAGCTATTTTTAATGATATGTTAATTGAATGGGATGCTAGAATGGCTCTTTTCCCCAGAAGTGCCCCAGCTGAGTGATAAAGCTTCTCCTGATCAGTAGAGCCAGCATATATTTATAATATCCCTATCTGTCCTTCAGTTCCTGCAAATGGAAAATAACCCAATAATTTCAAACTATATTATGAACTAGGATTGGACACTGGCACACACGCGTGCAGATTTCTCTTTTGGATTCTGTATGCGTTGTAATTTTAAAAGCCTTAATCCCTTTCCCCCTGCCCCTTTCTTCGTTTTTTTTCTGTTTTGAAATTTCCCTTCTTTTATTCTACTTTGAAACTAAATTTTTTTTTTTAAAAAATCAAGGCTGGGTTAGGATCATGGGTGTTGTGACCTGAGATCTGAGCTCATAACTGGGGAGTGGATTGGGGCCTCAGCAGCATGGCTGCAAAAGCAACACCAGGCAGAGAAGCAGTCAAGTACTGCTTAAGGGTGAATCCATCCAAGAACATGTAAAGTCTGCAGCGTTATAATGAGGATGGGGATATACAAGAGGGTTATCACCCTCTCCCCAGCTACAACCCTCCCAAGTACTTCCCCTACACGCACCTTCTCTTTTTTAAAGTTTATGTTGGGAAATAAAGTTGGAGTCTGCTTTTTACAGAGTTGCCTAAGTATAAAAAGCATTTATGCCCTAAGGAACTTAATGATTGGAATGATCTCAGCTCAGAAGGAGGGGGGAAATGCAGGGAGGAGAAAGAAGGCAGAGGCAACAATAACAAGGTGTGAATATAAGCAAGCACTTGGTATGAGGCTGTGTTTATTTTAACCTTCAAGAAGAATTTTGTTAAAATGTCAAGGCTCATGTGAAAAAGCAAAGGACAAGATTACAAACTTTAACGGGATTTATGATACAAATACAAATAATGATCACTTCCTACTCATTTATGGTAGCAACTCTCATCCAGCCCTTTTCGAGCGCGGTATTAGGCCTCGTTGCAACTCCTATGCAAGGTGCATAAGTATTGTTATTACTGTGTCCATTTTATAAAAGATTTGTGGAAATTGGTGGCTTGTCTAAGGTCACTAACTGAGCCAGTGTAAAGAATGGTTGACTTCCTACCCAGATATATTTTAGACCCCTCCTTTTCTCATGCCATTACAGACTTTTCTTTTTTTTCTTTGTTCCTTTAGGGGACGAAAAGGTGCTTAGCAATTTTAAAGCTCTTAAGATAGCTCGCAAACTAAGACAGACATATGTTCAGCATAGTTTTAATGTTTATCGTCTACAGAACACCATCTTCTTATGAGCTTTGCAAACTCTATGTGCTGTGTATTCTTTTCCGTTTTTGCAGTCCTCCATCTCTTTGTGTAACTCAAGCAAAGGAAGTTTGCCATGCTTGATTAACAAGATAACATGCTGAGAGTTGGTGAAAATGGATTCCTTTTAATTAAAAGCAGTGGTGATGGGTAATATTGCTGGAGATTCTGCATGTTTGCTGGTCAGTCTGTCGGCCTCCACATCATATCCTTGCAACAGGATCGCTTTCCTAAGTAGGCAGGCCCAGCAATCAGACCTAAGGATTAAAAATACAGAATATATATGAAGGAATGGAAGTTAGTAAGCATTTTGCATAGAATGTTTTGGTGTTTTCGTGATACCCACATGAAATGGGGCAATTTCAGTATTTCAGTTCCACCCTATTTCTATTCCCTAGCCTGCCACGGTCTCGGTGTATTCAGCAGGTTGAATGCCAGCAGCTGAAACAGCTGTTAGGCCATACTGGAATGGAGCGGCATGCTGCATCAGGACCTGGATATTTCTCCTGACATCTGGATGCTGCTGGGTTGTGAAGCCTGCCTTAGGCCAGGAGACTGTAGTAGCCTTGTGGCTGTGAGCAATAGGGTCTTTGCTGCTCTTTAAGCGATTAGGGCACTGAAGCAGCAATAATGCTGAATTATCGCTTGGTTGCTTTCTTCAAGGAAACTTGGGACAAAGGGATAGTCAAGGTGGAGTATTTACAGTAAAGTCATGTTCATGGAGACAAGGCTAATTGCTGTGCATTTAAAATAAAACCTTTCAGCTTACCTTAATCTTCAGATAGCTATGGACAATTATAAAAACAAAAAAAACCCACCCCCATTTTATTTAATTTTCTTAACAGAGCGCTAAACAAATATTCATTCCGAAAAGCCAACAATACTCATTTGAAATCATTAGGAAGAGAAAGAAAGACAATTTCAGTTAGTTTTCAATCGTGGCGTTGAGTCCAAGTGTATGGAACAGACAGCTAATTCTAACTATGTACACTTGAAGGTATATGAAAGTCTATGCTGACTAGAGACCAAAACAAATGAAATACGTAAAATGTAAACTTCTAACAACTGCAGGGAGGAATATAAGGAAAGAAAAGTGTCAGTCTGGTGCATTGATTTTCTTTTTTTACAGTTTCACTTTATCAAATTGGAATGGTGCTGCTGTAGTTGCAAAACTATCTGCTGCAGCACTTTTCTTTTATGGTGTGTATTTTTTAAAGACAAATCATATGCAAAGCAGGAAATATGTTTTAATGCTTTTACCAGTTCAAACTGAAAAGAAATAATCCTTTGTTCTCCCCCTTATATATTTAATGCATTAAGGACAATATAAGCAAAGAAGGCCTCTCACACAAATCTCTTTTGTTTGAATAGTGCTAGATTCTGTATTGAAGACCAATTTGTTGCTCTCGGTTAACCTCTAGTATTCTAAAGGGGTTATATTTAATTAACACTGGCTAAAGGCCTGACCTGAGAGGCAGCTGAAAGTGATTGAACTGCAGTTTTGAAGCCAGAATCTAGTCAGCTGGGAGAAGAGTTGGGGGGGGGGGAATTAGAAACCACCATTTACTGAAAAATTCCTTCAAGCTAAGCTGTATTTCAATGGGCCATTTAATGCTCAGATGGACAAAGGTATTACTTCAGTCATTGAGTTGTATCAAACCCTTTCTCAGAGGCCCTGTTTAAAAAACTCGACAGGAAAAGTGGTTTAGCATCATATTCTCAGCAGAGCAACACTCAGTCTGTTGAAAAAAATATGAGTGAAATGAGGTGAGGCGCAGCCACAGAGTCAGTGTGAGTTTTTGCCTTACCCTCAAGATGGTTTCATGAGGGAGCTGCACTTCTGAGTTTAGGAGCTCCATTTTCAATATAGCAAAATTCTCTCTCCTTTCTGCTCCCAATTTACTGTTTTGACTCGGACACAGAAGAAAAAATTTATATATATATATATATATATATTTGGGAGTAGAAAGGAGAGGGAATGTTGCTATATATATTGTTCTGTAGTAATATTACAGAAGAGGTCAGCCTCTTTCCATGTGTGAGCATGCTGCTCAGAGTTCAGAAACTTTGAGCTCCGTGTGAACTTTTAAGTTCATCTCTCTTCTTTGAGTGGCTTCACACAATTTCTTTGTTCCATGGAACCCTTGGCTTAATACAGACACACACACACACAGAGAGAGAGAGAGAGAGAGAGAGAGAGAGAGAGAAACCACTATATCATAATACTGTAGCACACCATCCCAATCTCTGAGCGGTGGAAGATTCCAACGGTACCAGATGCTTACCCAGGGTTCCTTTTTCTTTTTGAAATGGGGCACAGTAGAGACTGTGTTGTCCTTAGGATATGAGACTTATTTACACATCTATAACAACCTGAGCCTACGATGGAGGGGTTCATAGCATTAATACCCCAGAAGGGTCTTGTTTCTTCCATAGCTGCAGCCTTGGATCAGTGGTGAAGGAAGGAGAACCAGCCCCCGGTGTGTGGGGCGGGGCAAACCGCCCGGCGGTGCATGCACACGTGTTGTACATATGGCGCATGCGTGCACGCCGCTATGTACTGTGCATGTGTGCGCACCATGTACAGTGCATGTGCATGTGCTGTACGTAAGGCAGGATACTCTACGGCTGCAGTGGCAGTGGAGGGATCCCACCGCCATCTGTATGGTGCTCAAGCGGCAGTGCACATGCATGCACGTAGCGGCGGTGGGTGGTTTGCGCCGCTGGGTGGTTTGCCAACAGCACCACTCGAGCGCTGTACGGATGGCGGCAGAAGGTGCAGCCATGAGCGGAGGATCTCCGCACGCAGCTGTGGTGGTACGATGGCAGCGGCTTGCACCACCGCACCCAGGGATGGTGAGGTGAGCCCCCCGTAGGGTGCCTTCTTGTCACCCCCCTCAGAGATGGCACCCGGAGCAGACCGCTCCCCGCCCCCTTCCTCCGGTCACAACACAACCCCTTTGAACTCTAAACTCAGGGTTTGCTCTAACTATCTCTGGCTTGAAGGAGGGGCTCCACCAATTTGCCAACTTGCACAGAACCCCTTTTTCTTTGTTCTCTTAATTGCCCATCACCCAGGTGATCGCCTCAACACAGGAAGCTAGTCTGTCTTATATTTTAGCATTGCATACAGGCATTAGAAGGATCTTGCATACAGCCTAATACTTAATCCCCCTCAGCTCAATACTTCCCTGCTAGGAGGGTGTTCCACAGCATGGGATCTGCAACACTAAATGTCCAACTTCTAGTTGAGGCCAGTTGGGTGTCTGTAACATGCGGGACAACTAACAGCACTCCTCTGGATCCTCTCAGTAATTAAGATGGGAAATAAGAGTGCAGTCAGTCCTGGGCCCAAGAACTCTGAAAATGACCTAGTAGCATATGTACAGCCAGTGCAGATATTTTAGGAGAGGTGTCAAATGCTGTTTGCCATCAACTCCAATCAGCAATCTAACTGCTGCATTTTGCACTAGCTGGTCTTTCCAGACTAGGCCCAAGGGAAACTCCTCACAGATCACATTGTGGTAATTGAGTACCAAGGTTACCAATGTTTGGGACCACATTGGCCAAGTGATCTCAATCCAGGTGCAGCCGTAGCTGGTGTACCAGTTGAAGCTGGTAAAAGGCACTCCTAGCCACAGAGATCACTTGGAGCTTTAGTGACAAAGCTATGTCCCTGCTCCTTTAGAGGGAGTGGAAACCTGTCTAGAACAGGGAGGTTCCTATCTTCCAGACAGTGATCAACAAAGAAGGCCCTCTTGATGTGCCTGTCTTTTAGGTCAGTGTAGGTGACTATAAGGGAGAGAGCTTTCTCCATGGTAACTCTGGAACTCCTTGCCCATTGTTGTCCATAAAGATGACTTAGAAATATTTTAAAATAAATAAATAACAATGGACAAGCCTACATATTTAAGGACCTCTGAAAGGAATACGTTTTCTTCCCTGTGTGCTCTGCTCAGAATGGGGGGTCCTTGCCTGACCCCAATCTCTTGAGTGAGAAGCAGGTTGATCAGTTTCTCAATTGTGGCAAAAGCTGCAGCCCATTTACTATGTTCTGTAAAGCACAACATGGAGTGGAGCCAGCTCCAGGTTACATGCCTCGAACTGCTATCCACGTAACCCTTTAAGACTTCTGTTCTTTGGTTTCTTCAGAGTGCTGATAAAATCTTAGAAACTGTCTTCTCTCTCTCTCTCTCTCTCTCTCTCACTCACACACACACACACTCATTTCAAATTTATGTAAATTCCCATTTTGTAAACTTTTTGTCAGCTCTGATGCTGTTACGGTAAATATATGCCATTATAGGGTGATGGGTTACATTATACTTAGAAATTTGCTGAAATTTAATAACACTAATAAAACAATTGCTTTATTTCAGATGGGAAGCAAATGCTAGTATATAGAGGCAACGGCCAAGTGCCAAATTCTTTCAATTGCCGCAGCGGCTGGCAGCTATTTGTGGTTTATCCAAGTGTACTTTTGTGGCTTTGCTTTTGATTGTATGGTAAACTGGTTGTGAACAGGTAATTCAAGGAAGTTATATTTAAACATCATAATTGAATCTGCCCTATGCAATTTGGCTGTTCTCAGGGAGCCCAATACCCCTCAATTTACTATGTCAAAGTTGCAGTTCAGAAAAATAAGTGTCAAGCCCTCTGTTGAAGAGCACCCTATGTATGTAAACCACAAAGGGATTTTCTTGTCACTCCTACAGGGCCTGTGGGTGCAGAGGTCCTGATGCACAGACATGCTCCTCCACCCACAAGCCCACTTTAGTTTCAACTGAGGGATCAGCTCCAGGCACATAAAACCCATTGTACGAGAAGAACTGCCCTCCACTGAAATGAATGAGGAAAACCAACTATGCAGGACTGCCTATGTAACCCTGTCAAGTGCTTTCTGTTACGAAGGGTCCTAATAATAATAATATCTTTTCTTTGCATCATATAATCTGCAGGGCTTTGTATCAAGGCAATAGTTTCTATATATTTCATGCTGCGAAGCTCATTTCAGTTACAGTAAAACAAATTCGATAACAGATAATCCTATACCAATCCTTAAAAATAAAAATAAAATCCCCCTGTTGTCCTTTGCTCACTGGACTCTCACACTCTGGTCTCTGAACTAGGCACTTCTTAAGCTATGTAGTCCCCATCTTTATGTTGTTATTGCTTGTACCACTGTTGTGTTTTGAGATGAAATACATTCAGAAATGCATATTTTGTGAGAAAATCTATTATAAAAGACAGTTAAAATGCATTTCTTTTGGTGTAGATTAAGAAAAATCACAGATTTATGTAGAAACAGAACAGAGTTATGAGTGAACCCATGCATTAGGTGGCTTAGTCCTGATTCCCCTTCTCCAGCTTAGATAATGAAGTGACTGACTTGTATGAAGGGGCTCCATGTAGACATCTGACTTGTCTGATTTTGCAAAAAGAGAATGAAAGAAAGAGATCGTGCTAACCAGTCGTCTGCATGAATGGGTGCTCCCAGAAAATGCCAACTTCATTCCAGTCATAATTGACACGGTAGAGGGGAGGGGCCCGTACTCATATCTACACATTCTGACTGGACCGCATTACATGGGTAGAAGGACAAAAAAACGTGAATGGCAAAAGACGGTTCCAGAGGTGAAGTGGCTTAGTAGCACACTTTTGCCTAATGTCCGGAGCAAAAGAATTTACATGTTTGTAAAAACTGTTTTTTCATGTGATTTAAAAAAAAAAAAAAACGGCCAGAGAAATCATTATTAGTTTTTAATAGTTTTTTTTACAGTTTTCTTTTAAAGACAGCAACCAAAAAACAAAATTTTGAGACCTGAAACAGTCAGAGATTGTTTGATGTTTAAATGCAAGAATGTTAAAAGAACTGTTAGCAACATTTAAAGAAAATGTTGCCGTTTCCCACCATGCTAATTTTTTTAAAAAACGGAAACACTATGACTGGCATTGTAAATTAGCACTGCTTTTTCAATACCGCTAGCACATACTGCAACAATTAACACTACATTGTTGATACTCCAGCTTTCAAGAAGCCAGCAAAGAGAAGCAGTTGCACCATCTCTTTGGAGTCCATGACAAATTATCTGTGGCTACTAATATTTGCACCAGAGTGCATTATCTGTTCCTTATAGCAACAACTGACCGTCTGTTTCTTTTGAAAGCTGAGGCAAGAAATCAGAATCCATAAAGCACTGATATGGTTCCTCTAATTGTTAATGCTTTTCCATGCAATTATGTCCTTTTCCGGAATAATAAAAAAAATTCCCCAGCAGAGGTCAGGATCTTTGTCACTGACTTATTTTACAGATCCTTTTAACATCTGTCCCGCAGACTGCCGACTTCATTAGCAGATAAGAGACCTTAGTGTGCTCAGAGCCTGCTAAGTTCTTGTTCATCTTTACAGCTGTGGATTAACTCAGGCTTTCCAGAAGAGGACAACCAGATGGGATAATAGATGTTATTGGGTTGTGACAACAAAAGAAGCCAGAAATGAAGAAATAAATGTCCAAGTTCCAAGACAATTCAGGAGAGTTGTTTGGAGCTTTTTTTTCTGAACAGTTACAATTGCCAGTCTGTTCTTAAGAAATAAGAAAAGCGGCATTGCACTAAAAAAAGGAAAGTCTATTCATATCTGTGTGGGAACCTAATCAGGCTCTTGTTTCCAGTGACGATGGCTCCCCAGTTGCACCAGGTCTGCGACAAGAATACTCCTTTTGTGTGCCGATTAATGTGGAAGCGATAAAATTTCCTATAAGAGACATATGTGTTTACATCTTGAGATGTGTTGTTTGACAAAAAGCTTTGTTCTCTGCATATTTTCCTTGCAGAGTTTCATGCTGAGTTGTTTTGCTGGAAAGCTTTGATTAGCTAGAATTAGTTTGCCAAAGTAAAATAGACACTTGTTTCATGAGTCTTCTTGCTGAGCTGTAAATTATAGTCAAATGTAGGAGTGATGGAAAGAAGCATTGATTTGTAGTACTCTGACCAACTATAGACATA